TGCACTTAATCAAGGTTCTTATTTGTGTCTTTTCAAATCGTTCACTGAGAAAATTACTTCATGGTGACTGGTTGAGAGCAGGAATATTTATGGTTAAGTTTTAATTTGCACTAATGCTTTGTTTGTGTTTCCAGACGGACAAAAGTCCCAGTAAGCTGAAAAGAAAGGTTAGTTTCCTCTTTCTGAGAATTGTCCTGTAGCAAATCATGCTTTTTCGTTGTTTCTGCAGCAGCTCTCAATGCCTTCATGTTGACAAAGGTCTGTGGTTTTGTTTTTACAGAAAGATACCGCCGAATCAAAACCTAGTCCAGGGAAAAAGAGTAAAGTGTCGGCTGCGTCGCCAACGAAACGAAAAGAACCAGCATTGGTTGTACGTATTTCCGACGACACTACGTCAGCATATATATTCTCTGTACTCGTGTGCATTTATTTCTTATGGTATCACTTGGGAGAATTTGTGTATTAACCCTTTCACCACACTGCTTTAACGTGGTTAAAGACTGATTCGGTCTGAAGTAGATTACAATTAATTAAAAGATTTTGATTGAATATGAGGAAAATTAACGAGTTCAAGAAATCTCAATTGTATTGTTCTATATTGTATTTTATTGTATTGCATTGCATTGCATCGTATTGTATTGTATTGTATTGTATTTGATTTTATTTGTGCTGGTATTTGCAAGAGGGCATTTCACTTGGTTCATGTGAAAATGACAGTTTTCCACTGTTATTTTTGTTTTTGTTGTTTTGATGTTATTTTGTAGTTCTTCAGTGTTTTCGTTTCCTTGCTGTTGCCTTGCTGTTTTTGTTTCTTCTCTGCTTGTCGGTTATTGTTGTTTGATCGCTGTTGGCGTCTTCTTGTTGTTGTTCTCATTCTTGTCTTCTGGGTGCCTAAAACTGGGGTCCGTGGCATGGTTGCGAATGCCTGACTCCACTGTATTGTAACAAACTTGTATAGCAAATTTCCAGGAGGCCTAAGTGTAGCCGGGCTCTTCTCTGGAGTCCGGTCTGCTTTCCTCCCCGAGAAGTGAATTCGGGGATATGCGCGTGGGCTCCTTTCCCGAACANGGGCATTTCACTTGGTTCATGTGAAAATGACAGTTTTCCACTGTTATTTTTGTTTTTGTTGTTTTGATGTTATTTTGTAGTTCTTCAGTGTTTTCGTTTCCTTGCTGTTGCCTTGCTGTTGCCTTGCTGTTTTTGTTTCTTCTCTGCTTGTCGGTTATTGTTGTTTGATCACTGTTGGCGTCTTCTTGTTGTTGTTCTCATTCTTGTCTTCTGGGTGCCTAAAACTGGGGTCCGTGGCATGGTTGCGAACGCCTGACTCCACTGTATTGTAACAAAACTTGTATAGCAAATTTCCAGGAGGCCTAAGTGTAGGCTCTTCTCTGGAGTCCGGTCTGCTTTCCTCCCCGAGAAGTAAATTCGGGGATATGCGGGTGGGCTCCTTTCCCGAACAGGGGCTGGTAATCTAGTCTAATCTTCTTTTATTGTTTTGCTCTTGATTCTGATTTAGGTGAAAAGGAAGGGCAGCAAGAGAAGATAAAACGGAGAATGATAATGATAATGAAAGAGTCACTGTACATAGAAAACAAGAATTCAAATCCTTACGTTAGACTCCAAGCCACTAATATTGCTGTTGTACATAGCTGTGCCTCTTGTGAACGCTACTACTTCAAGTTAGCGCTCAGAATGAAGTCTGACGTGTTGTACCCTGGGAACTGGTTTCTGGCCGTCTTTACTTCCTTGACGGTCCTCTCTGACTCAACTGAGCCCGTTGCCGTTCTCAGCGGCGTTGCTACGCGACACGACGACTTGTCGCTAAATCAAGGTGATGCGAAGGTCGCGCTGCCGTCTTCGAGACGAATTCGCACGGAACTTTCATTGGTCCACTGGAATCGGGAATCTTCAGTACTCTTGACAATGTGACCTCTCGTGTGGAAATACATCCATATAGGAAATAATCGAGTCTGCAAAATATCTCCGAACTAACATGCAGTAAAACCGAGTT